GCATTTTTTGGGTTATTTTTCTGTAGCAGATCTCCCTCTCTTTCCAATCCTGCCTCCCTCTTCCACTTTTAAAAGCTCTTGGATTACATTGGGCCCACATGTATATATAAAATTCTAGAATTATCTCCCTATTTCAAGATTCTTAACTTTATCACATCTGCAAAGTCTCTTTTGCCATGTGAGATGACATGATCACAGGTACCTAGGATTATGTCGAGGACATCTTTAGGGGGACCACCTATGGGTGGGTGGCAGCGGGGATTGGAGTAGCTGTGGTAGGCAGCTCTCCAACCTTCCCACTCCCAGCTTTAACCAGGGCATTTTCATTCCTGTCAAGCTTGACCATTGAGGTTCAATATAAAATTTTGCTTGAAAGCTTGAAAATGATTTTCAATGCTATACAAAATAATAATAATAATAATAATAATAATAATAATAATAATAGGAACGCCCATGTTCTAATGCTCCTTCCTCACCTTCACAATCATCCTGAAAGTGGCCAAAAAGTGCCATTGCTTTGTGAGAAGTCTGAATGTCCTTAGGTGAGCAGGTGGTGACCATGGAAGGAGGAAGGAGGAGAGGTCAACTGCCCTGCTTTCTCATGCATCGGGCACACGACCTTCCTTCCGAGAACATTATGCTCTAATGAGATTTGAATTGCCCAGTGACCCTGCCGCCCTTCCCTCCACATGCTATCCACAACGGTTTTCCATGAAATGTGTCATTTTACCTCTACTGGAGCACAGATGTGCAGAGACCATGACAGATGACCACCTCTCTTTCTCTCTGTAGGACAGTAAGCAGAAGAGTATGTCTCAGAGGCTTCCAAAAAAATAGGGGCAGGAAGCTATCACAGATTGAAATATAAATTCAACTCCATCTAACTTTTCCCCTTGGGACAAGTCCTGCACAGCTTGGGCCTGCATGTCAGAGCCCAGCAAAAAGTTGTGGAAATCATTACTTGTGAAAGAAATAAGATTGCCATCTAGTAAGAGAGAACCTATTTCGAGTAGGAACTATGGCTGCATGTCTTAGGAATCATCGAGGTAAGGCGAGGCAGGCTCAGCTGCAGGAGTTTGTCCCTCTTCTCCCAGGGGCTCTGAGCATGCACATGGGTTCTTTAGTCAGAATCAGCTGCCAACAGAGCAGCCACTTCACAATCTGACACTGAGGTGTGCGTATCTCAGACTTAGCGAGATTTGACTAGCCTCGCAAGTAATTAATCAACCAGAAACCATTGGTACAAAAAGAAGGGAAAGATGGCAAAGAAAAGGAGTTGAATGGGGAAAATCATTTCAATTTCATTACCAAATTATGCCTTAGACCAGTAGTAAGTCAAGAAGCCATGAGCATCTCTTGAAAGATGATTAGCCTTGTGTATTTTAGGGGTCACTGTAGTGTGAGCTCATTTATTAAACCTTCTTGATGGGGGAAGGTTGTTGCCATAATCAATGGAGTTTTCTTTTTAAGCCTGTAGTTTATAAAGTCCCTGGGACAGCTAAACAGAACCTATGCAGAGAGGGGTTAATGTACAACCTTGAGGCTCTCTCCTGAGCAGTTATCTTTCAAGGAACAAGTGGAGAGATTGTCCACAGCCAGGAAAAGAGAACATCCAGGCTGTATGGACAGAAAATGCAAGTTCTTCCTGAGGGCAGGATTTCTTCCTGACAATTGGGCTCTGGCTACAGTACTTCTAGAAAGAGGATCATGGTTTGGAGACTTCAGTTTCTCTGTATTTAGATACAGATTTTGAGGGAGCCCAGAATTTGAATAAACAGCAGAAGGAAGATTCAAGCAAAAACCAAAGCAAGTTTATACCGGAGGAAACTTGATTAACTCCTTGAGGAATAGGTGTTCTGTTTGCCAAAGGTTAAGAAGAAAACTCTATTTTTGGTTTCAGCCCGCCCCCGCCTCCCTTTTTTTTTTAAACTGATAATCTTTCTAAAATGTTTTACTCTAAACTGAAGCCCAAGTAAGTTATAGTGCAGTGAAGATAACTGCATCTTTTTCAGTGACTGAGGATCTTGTCTTGCCTTCAAGGTCATCATTCTGGACAGTTTATGGTGTTTTGTCCTAAGATATTTGTACTCATAATGTTTGTGTGTGTGTGCGTGCATGCACGTGTGTGTGTGTGTGAAAGGAGAGACAGAGACTGTTAGGCTGAATCTAAAAGTCCATAATTGACCTCAGAAATATACTCAGGAATTGCCTAAAACAGTGAAACAAACAACGAATCTGCAGAATTATTTTCCCTTGTTGACACGTGACTTTATTTCTTTAGGGATTCCAATGAATCCAGGTTTTATCACACTGGAGAAGCAGCATGAAAGAACGAAAGGGACACACACGATTCTGGGGTCAGATAGATCTAGGCCCAAAGTCTGATTCTGCCATTTTCCACTGCTGTGACCTTAAGCTACTTAATCTTTCTGAGTTTCAGTTTGCTCATCTGTAAGAGGAGAAAGATAAAGTGTACTTGTGTCTTTGGAATTGAAGATAATACATGAAGACTGTCCTGCACAAAGCATTGCTTCATTCCTGATAATTTTTATTGTTTTTTAGCTTTGGTTATAAGAAAAACTATCCAACTTTGACAAGGCAGCTAACTCTGTCTTCTCTCCAAATTTCCACAGAGAGTATGAATATCAGGTGGTCCCATTTGGGATAGCAATGGTCATCTAGACATTAGGGCCAGGCAAGATGAGAATATGCCAGGTTTTGGAATTCTGAAGCAAAGATTGTTTGTGTTTCATTCAGTGAAGTCTTTGTCAAAAATCATGCTTGAAGGAGCATTCTGAAAAAAAGCCTGTGGTTGGGAAGATGGGGAGTCCTGGCTGGTGACTGAGATACTAGCTGGTGCAAGGGTTGAAACTATGTGAGGTGGGAATAACAAGGGGACTGGCTTTGTCTCTGTGTGATGGCTTCTAGCAAGCTTTACTAAAAGGAAAAAATAGGAAGAGCTCATGGAAACCAGTGCAGCCCATTTAACTCCAACCAAACTTCCACGTTTCGATACCCACATCCATGCCCAGGCAGCTTGCACAGTGGTGAAGCCAGCTCCCTTCTGGTGGCACATCCGGCCTAACAGCTGGGTGGCCAAGGAATTTGATGGGTAAAGGGCTAGCAAAATGTGAGATACAATCCTCAGCTGCCTCATTTGCTTGCTTACCATCATCTGGAACAGCTGGGTTTGCACAGCACGGGACAGCCCTTGTAAACTTCTTTAAATGCTGTCACCTTCCAACACTCCAGCTGCCTTCATTGGGAGAGAGGGGTGGACCTGGGCTAGGAACTTGGCAGGCCCACAGGGGCCATTTGTCTGGGAAATTGCAGAATTAGTGTCAGCAAACAGTGCACATCCAGCTGTGATCTTCAACTGGATAAGGAGGAGGTGGGGGAGGTGGGTTTTTGGAGGCACACCTGCAGCAGCTCTTGGCTACTAGTCCAAGGTGCCTGGCAGCAAAGGAAAAGAGCAAGCCAGGTTGCAGGGAGGGAGGGGAGATGTTTAATACTCTTCCACTGAGTTTTGAAAGTTTTGGTTTGGGTTTTGGAGGAGTGTGTTTGCTAGCTGACACCATGTGTACAATATGGCCATTAAAAGCCCAGGCTTTGGAATCAGATCTAGACAGACCCCCCAGCTCTGCCCCATTCTAGCTGCTTGCTCCTGGCCAAGTTATTTGCCCCTTTCCAGCCTGTTAGAAAGGGCCGTCTCTAATGGAAATGTGCAGAATCTGTTGCGCAGAGGCAGCAAGATGGCCAAAAAAAAAAAAGCCATTGGCTTTTAAAAGGAGTTCAGTGCAGAGAGGAGTTCATGAATTCATTGGCAATGTTAATGGTTTCCTTATCTTCAAATAGGGATAATATAGGGTGTTGTGAGATAAAATACCTAAAGTACTTAGCATATCCTGGCTCCTAGCAAGTGTTCAGGAAATGGTGACTATTGCTGTTGTGTAAGAGACAGTGTGGTGTGAGCTCATGACAGAGCAGCTGAGTCACAGACTCCATCACCAGACTGCCAGGGTTTCCAGTGTGGTCCTGCCATGAGCAGCTGAGCAATGTTAGGAAAGTTAAACACTGTGCCTCGGTTTCCTTAGTGTAAAATGGGGATGATCACACTACTTACCTCATAGGTGTTGTGAGGGTTAAACGAGTTAGGTGGTGAGTTAGGCAACTGCCTGGCATGTCACAGGTGCTGTGTGTGCTGCCGTTGCTTGCCAAGCCCCTTTGCCTGCCTCAGCCTCTGACATCTCTTCTTAAAGTTTCTCCTTTTGCTGTCATTTCTGGGGAGTTTATTGAGGACAAAGTAAAGCAAAGAACTTAAATATTTCACATTAAAGACTGTCCAGCCCAAACCCAAGTGCAGCACCCTGGGTACTCATGTAGAGGGTGCCCTTGTCTGTGCATCTTCCAAAGGGTACCTTGGTGCAGGAAGATGATGCGTATAGCCACTCCCACCGTGAGAGCAGTCAAACCCTCTCCAAGGTTGCAAAGAAAGCCCATTCCTCCTTCAGGCTGAAAGTCCTGGCTCAGTCCACTCCTTCCAACGCTGCCATCTGGTACCAAAGTTGACAGTGTTTGGGACATTTAAAAAGTTCTGTTGATACTAAGCTCAAACAGCAGCTCTCCCTTCTGTGGCCCATAGGAATCTCTGCTAATGCATTTTAATTCTGGCCCATCTCTCCCAATCTCCTGCCAGCCCAAAGCCCAACTGGGAGGCTAGCGCACCTCAGCTCTATCTTGCTACAATGCTCCTTTCCAGACCATTTGTTGGCCTTAATGAAAATGTGTGTGATCTGTGCCCAGAGAGAAGAAGCAAGATGTCATAAAAGTCACTTGCTCTTAAAGGGAGTCCAGTGCAGTGGGAAATCTGTGGATTACTGGCCAATGTTAATAGTTCCAAGGCTGGGTGCTAAAAATCGGTATCAGTGGTTACACTCCGGTTCCCAGAGAACCCAGTTCCCTGATTCACCCCCTGTGTGGATACTTTCTGATTGTGCCAGTGCCCATCTGGACTCAGCCCCATGAAGGACAGCTCTGGTTGCTATGACCGCCACATCGGGGTGGACTGTTCTGATGGCTTCAATGGCGGCTGTGAGCAGCTGTGTCTCCAGCAGATGGCGCCCTTCCAGGACGACCCCGCCTTGTACAACATCCTCATGTTCTGCGGGTGAGTTGAGCTGCCCATGAGACCAACTGGCCCCTGTCCATGGATGCAAGGCTTTCAGTGCTAAAATTGGGAAATTAAATGGGAATGAACTGGTCACCTAAGCCAGCTCTTAGGCTCTGAGAAAAGGTCAGTAAGAGGAGCACTTTTATAGTCCGGGTTGTGAGGACCTTAGGGAAAGTCTAGTCCAGCCCCTGTAGATGGGGAAACTGAGCCTCAGGGATTTACCTGCAAGGGGAAATTAGCCACATGATTTACTTAAATCATCCCCCACTTAAACCAGAATTTTCCAAGTTGTGTTTTGCTGAGCTATGTTAATTAGGTGTTTGGTGACAAAAGGGTTCTATGGTCTAAAACTTGGGAAAGATTGTGCAAAACTAATCAATTATCAAAGAAGGGAGGGTGGTCTTTGGAGAAGTGGACCTGTTTAAATTATGCCCACAAAGTCCCAGCATTTCGTGCAGCCACCCTGCTTGGGCACAGTAACTCTTCATTGTAAAGAGCCCTTTACTGCAGGTCAGCTCTCTCCCCCACTTCATTTCACTTGGTCTCAGGGTAACTGTAAGGGAACTGGGCAGACAATGCCACCCCATTTTACAGATGAGAAGATTAATGCACAGTGAAATTGAGTGACTCCCTCAAGACCGGGTAGTTGGTAAATGGGAAGATTAGGACTAAAATTCAGGCCCTCCCTGATTTTTTAAAAAGTTCTGCAGTTCTCTCAAAATTTAAATTTGCACCACTGACTGCAGTTTTATTTAAAGACATTTACATGCTATACTTATAAATATTTAGCTGATTCTTCTACATCCATAGTTTTCTTGTCTATCCTTTCTCCTGCTCTCCCTCCCCTCTCCCTTCCTCCCCTCCCCTCTCTCGTCCTGCATGTCAGGAAGCCTGCTTACTTTATGCCATGTACCATGCTGGTGGCCACTGGGCTGCAAAGATAAATGACACATATTCTTGCCCTCAAGGATCTCACAATCTAATAGGCTTCAGATGAAAATCAATGTTTACAGTAATAAAACTATGCCAGATTGTTGCTAAAAGCCAGTGCCTGCTAAATAATCATGAAAAGATTATTTGGTGGATTTGTAATGTTATTTTATTGTATTTTGTTTGATTTTATTTCTTTGCAATTGAGCAATTTTCATATTCAGTTTCTTGTAAAATCTCATTACATAAATGGAAGCTTGCTCTAAATTTTAATGTTCTCTATAATGTTATCGTTAGGGCTGACCCACTTCAATTAAGAGAGGTCAATTCAGCCAGTTACATAGATTTATTTACTTAATGAGCATTTATTTGGCTGCCCACTTTGTGAGAACCTAGTTGGGTGTTAGGTCGAAGAGAAACAACAGGATACTGTACCAGGTCGCTTCACTCAAAGGGTTTTACAGTGGGACACACAGCCAGGACAATGGAATCAAGGCAGGAACCAATTCGCTGTCTTGTCCCAGACCTAGGCTGGTCCCTTAGAATCCCCTGTGGGCCTCAAGTCACATCTGTTGCCTGGACTAATGCAATAGGTCCCTAACTGGACTTTTTTTCCTTTTTCAATCAGAATTAGACACACATGTGTGTTTAGCACTTTCCAAGTCACTATATACAGCCTGCCAGAAAGGTACCTGATTTTGAGGTTCACCTTAAAGACCAAATCACATGCACTTACAATTAAAGAGTTCTACTCACACCTGTTCACACAAATATATAAATGGGAAATGGGAAAAGCAAGCAGTTAAAGTTGCGTTAACATGGGCCTCATTTGCACCTCTGCTAAGAAAAATAATAGCAACATTTAATCAGCTATATAAAAGGGTACTTCAAAAACTTTGTGGAAAAATACACTTAAAAGGTAATACAAATCCTTCCATAAACTTTTTGAAGACCCCTCATGTTAGGCACTGCATATGTTTTTTACATTCAGTGTGTAACTTAATCTTCTCAACAACCCAGTGAAGAAGCTACTTTTTCCTTTTTTTACAGTTTTCAAAACTGAAACTTAGGGAGGTTAATCAACTGGTCCCAGGTCACCCAGTAAAGGGCAGTCATTGCTGTTACAATATTGCTTCTGACCACTTAAAACTGTGATCACATGTTCCTCTATATAGGACAAAGGTCTCTACCTTATTACTATTACTGTAGATAGTAATAAATGATGTGCTTTAATGTCATTAGCATCTTTAAATTCTAAATCTGATATATTTCTAAGGAGAAACCCAAATTAAATTAATATTCCTTTTCAATGACAGGTTTATCAAAAAAGTAGTTCTAAGAGAAGCACTCAAATGCTCTCCATCACGAAATGTGGTATATCTACACAATGGAATATTACTCAGCTATAAAAACGAATGAAATACTGCCATTTGCAACAACATGGATGGACCTTGAGAGAATAATATTGAGTGAAACGAGTCAGGCAGAGAAAAAGAAATACCACATGTTCTCACTCATTGGTGGGAGCTAAAAAATAAACAAATTAATTCACCCACATACACACACAAAAAAAAAATGGGGTGGGGGGGGAAGAAGATATAACAACTATACTTTTTTGAAGTTGTTACAACAAGCAAATGGAAAGGACATTCTTGGGGGGGAGGGGAGAGAGGGAGGAGGGAGGGAGGTGTTGGTGATTGGCCATAATAATCATATACATTGTATATTGACAAAATAAAAATTTAACAAAAAAAAAATGCTCTCCATTACGAAGAAATGATACATTTTTGCAATGGTGAATATGCTAAATACCCTGATTTGATCATCACACATTGTATACATATATTGAAATATAAATCTGTACCCCATAAATATGTACAATCAATACTTGTCAACTAAAAAATAAATAAGTAGTTCTCACTTGAGCTAATGTATATTCTTTTCGATATAACTACAAATAAGGTCCAGTTAATGATGTATGAGTCACTGACCCACATTTACCAACATATGTGTCACTTTTCCATTAAAGTGACTGTGCCTGCAAAATGGACAGGACACCAAGGAGGCAGTTCTCAGTTAGTGGTGTATGTAACATGCACACTGTGTGCCCTAGCACCCATTTAGTTCTCCTGAACTCTGAATGGAGGGAGAGTTTATATGAGTTGATCTTGTGTTTGGATACATTCAGATAGGACACAGCCAGGAGATGATAAATCTTTCTCATTTCTTAGGTGACTTGTCACAGGACCAGATTAGAAAGTTATTAATTTCTTAAGCACAGTGTCATTCCTTTTGCTGCCTGATTACCCTCCAAACAATGCAGGGTCTGGCCCTATAAATGGCTCTTGAGAAAGGCTTTACAATATCTTGGATTTGATGTGTTAACTCCTACACACCTATCTCTAGTGATTCTTAACCTAAACTATTTGGGAAGTCATACAATTATTAGAGGAGAGAGAATCGGGAAGTTCTGAAAGCACTTATCTGGAAAGGAAAGGTGAGAGATTTGCTGTGATCACAGGATGGAAGGAGCCTCGGGTTATAGTCTTAAGAAACCCAGTTATAAAGGGGTCAAAATCAAATTGTAATATTCCTAATCTTTGGCCATCTAATGCTCACTCCAAGGCATTTCTTTCCAATTTATTGGGTTGACGTGCCTGCCTAGCTCATTAATGGCATAACTTCTTATCTTGAGTTCTCCACCACGGTAGGTGCATCGAGGATTATAAACTTGGTGTGGATGGACGCTCTTGCCAACTCATCACAGAGACCTGCCCAGAGGGAGGTGACTGCGGGGAAAGCAGGGAGCTTCCCATGAACCAGACCCTCTTTGGGGAGATGTTCTTTGGTTACAACAACCATTCCAAGGAAGTGGCTGCCGGACAAGTGTTGAAAGGAACATTCAGGTGAACCTCATGTATACAGTACTGATTATTCAGGGCTGTTGGCAGATCTTCTCTGAAGAGCTTAGCCACTCAGCATAAAGGTGTTTGGTTTTTTTTTTTTTCATATTTGAACATTCCATCCTTTATTATTGTATTCATTACAACATATCATAATTATATTTCATTGGTTGCTCTACTGTACTGAATTCTTTGAGATTAGAAATCTGGTTTTGTTAATTTTTTCCTCAATGCCTATCTTGGCATCTTTTCAATATATGCGTTAGAGCAAGTAAATGTGATATGCCTAAAGGGATAGGTTACATTCTGTATTAATCCATCTCTGGTGCTTATAACAAAATACCTGGAACTAGTGATTTGTAAGAAAATGAAATTTATTGCTTACAGTTCCAGAGGCTGGAAAGTCCAAAGTCCAGAGAAAACATCTGGTGAGGTGACTCTACGGCAATGCAGGGTGTCACATGGTGAGAATGGCAGAGCAGAGAGAGAGCTGACTCCTTACCCTTCTCCTTTTAAATTGCTCAAACCACATCCATGACCACCATTGAAACATCAATGGATTAATCCATTTATTTGGGCTTGGCCCTCATAATCTAATCACCTCTTCAAGGCACCAGCTTTCAATTACCATGATAGGATTTCCCACCCTCTTAACATGGTCACTGTAGGGGTTAAATTTCTAACACATGGACTTTGGGGGACACAATTCAGTACAAGGCACATTCTCTTCCATGGTCTTCTCCAAGTCTACTACATTCCCACTTCCAGAATTCGAGAGCCATACTTCCCCTGGGTGAAAGTAACATGTTAAATGATATTTTACTTTGTCCAGGTGCAGACTGCAACATTTTTCATGGAAGCCACCTCAAAATGTTCAAGTTCCATTTAATCTCTGAATGAAAGAATCAATGTGCGAGTCAATCCAGAGTAGCAGTCCGAAGAGTGTGATCCAAGGATCAAAGGGTCCTTGAGACTCTTTCAGGGAATATTTAAGGTCCTGCCTTTTCGAACTATAGAAAGGCTAGATTTTCTTCACATACTTCAACCTAAACAATATTTTGCAATAAATTGAATTCAGATGTGAAAATTTAGCTGAATTCTAAGACAGACATTTAAAAAATTTGCAAAAAATGTAAAATAATGCCACTCACTTCTATAATTTTTCATAGAATATATTAATATTGAGTGGGTATACTATTGTTATTTTTAAAAGGAATTAGTATATTTTTAAAATTTGTTTTAATTTCTAATACAAGCCTGATAAAAATTGATAAATATAATTGGGGCCTTATTATAGAAATATAACAAAGCTGCTTGGGACCTGCGATTGTTTTTAAGAGTGTGAAGTGGTCCTATGAACAAAATGTTTTAAACCATTGATTTAGGATATTTCTAGGAAATTCTCAATTTGAACCCTGTCTCTGTTCTACCTTGGGCTATTTGAATACTTCCTCAGAACCCAGGGGAAAATGCTTTCCAGGAGATGATGTCAGTGTTATTATACGGACCATCGGTGGAGAGTAACAGGGCCTACACTCTTATGAGCATACTGACAGTAAATTTCCAAGCCAGTTCTTGGAGACAGTTGCTTTTTCTGTTACATACAGGAGACATTACAAATATTTCCCCTTTTAGCCTGGCAATTGGTTTGCCAAAGGCAAGAAGTGGGTAGCATAAAGGATCTTGTGGTGGCTGGAATCTCCACTGCAGTGTAGAAATGAGACAGTGTGTCCAGATCTTGTTGAGAGGGTGCCAGGAAGTAGGGATTGGGATGGGAGTGGGCGAAGAATATTCCCTCCCCTTTCAGTAGACCTTTTCAGCTGGTTCCTTTCTCATTGCCCCCAGCGTTCACCCTACCTCCCATCCCATATGTCTTACTCCTGACATGTATATCGAATGGTGTGCATGGTGAGGTGAACCTTTTGGCCCAAAAAGAATTTTTTCCCTGTGGGTTGAAATACAGTTGCACACCAAGGAGTGGGGTTCATCTGAACTCAGAAATGAAGGTCTGCCCTGTTTTTAGGCAAAACAACTTTGCTCGTGGTTTAGACCAGCAACTTCCGGATGGTCTTGTGGTGGCCACTGTCCCCCTGGAGAATCAGTGCTTAGAGGAAATCTCGGAGCCCACCCCTGACCCCGACTTCCTGACTGGTGAGTGTGCCTTTCTGCCCTTATTTAACCAGCAAAAAACCAGGCAGCTTCCTATGGTTTCACAAAATCAAGACTCTTGACCTTGCCTATTTTGATTTCTAAGCCAGTGATTTCCTCAATACATGTTAAAAGCTCAGTCGTAAAAAAAAAAGCTCAGAAAAATTGTGAATATTATAATCATCTGCAAAATGGTCATGATCATATCTGTTCTTGCTAGTTTCACAGGGAAGCTTTGAAAACAAATGAGATGGTACATGTGCAAAAAGTTCGGAGTTCTAAGTGACCAGGTCAGAGAGGCAGAGAGAGAAGCTAGATTGCTACTGTCACCTGAATGCCTATCATTGCAGCTGTTGGGTTCCCTGGCTAGTACTTACAGAGCAATGAGAGGGAAAAGAAAATGGTAGAGTTTTATTGTCAAATGTCCTTAGGTTTGAATCCCAGCTCTGCTGCTTTGTAGCTGTGTGGTATTAGACAATGTAGTCACTCTGGGCCTCATGGTTCCTCATCGTAAGGCAAGGATAATAGTGCCTGCCCCTCCATGTGGTTTGGGGCCCACTGGCGTTCTTCCTCTGGGCTCATTACGAACAAAGTATGGGTTGTTTGGAAGAGGCAGGAACCTCAGGGTATGCTTCTCCTTTCTGTGCCTCTGATGACCTCCAGTTAGCACCTCCTGCGCCAAAGAAGAGACTTGAAGGTGTCGCATGGACTCATGAGAGGGAGCCAGCTGGATTTAGCATCGCTTGCTGGAAGGCTAGACATGAGCTCCATTCCATTCATCATTTCTCCATTATTCCTCTCCTTGTTTATTGTGTGTCTTCCACACTCTGTACATTTCTCCCTGTTTTCCTTCCTTTTCTAAAGAATGGATTGAGCTGAGGATAGGCCTCTTCCAGATATCAAGTAATGTTAACAACTCTAGTTTAGACATGAGTGGGATTAGAAGTGGGTCTTTCTGAGGTCATAGAGCATAGCGATTAGTGGCATGGGCTCTGGAGCCCAACAGCCAGGCTTGATTCCTGACTGAATGTGTGATCTGGACACGTTACTTAACTTCTCTGTGCCTCAGTTTCTTTTACCATAAAAATGGGTATTGTAATACTGTCTTCCTCATAGGATTGATATGAGGAATAAGTAAATTAATACTTGTAAAATTTTTAGAACAGTTCTTGACAAATGGTAAGATCTATTTTTGTTCAATAAATAAATATTCCAAGAAAGAAAGTGATATGAAAACTACCAAATAGTGTCTTTTCTATAGGAAGAGAAGGAACAAGAGAGAAAACAATTAGACATATTCTGGATCAGCAATAAATCTCTTCAAAATCAGTTGCCCAATGAAAAGCCGCACACACGCACGCACACACACACACACACACACACACGCACAAACACACCCCTGATGAAATAAAAATTCAGTCTCTGGAC